AGGAGTCTTTCTATTGACTTCAATGGGCTTTGGATCAGGCCCAATAGTTTATATGTTTCCTGTCTGAAGCTGACTTCAGTTTCAGCTCTGTAATAATCACATTTTTTTGAGAGGCCTGCCTGTCCTAAAATGTGGGGTGGTACTGCTGTGTGCTGTTAAAATAGTTGTTATGATGCACACCAGCGGTGGCTGCAGTCTGCTGGTGGGTGAAATGAACCTGAAGGGTTAATAAATTAAAGGGACATTGTGAGGCCAATAATCATATCGTGTTAAAAAAAGAGTCTTGTCTGTGTTAATGATAATATTTTTAAAGCATTAAAATTGAAAGAATTTTAAAAATGCTTCCCAGTGTGTATGCCATTTTTGTTGTTACATTTTGCAAATCCCAATGAGAAGGGCTGAATCAGTTTTGCTTTTGTTTCCATTTATTTCCACTTCCTGGGTCTCAAGAAGTACCACAGTGCTGCAATGTTTAGACGACACGGGGTGCCAAGATCCTGTTCATGGGACTATTGAATGTAATGGGAAGCTTTACACTGATGTCTGTGGGCTTTGGACCAAGCCCACTGAGCTCTACGATGAAAGGAGCTAGAGAAGTGCAACATATCATGCTCTTCTTGCATTGTCTCATGGCAGAAAGAGTCAGATGCTTTTTTCCGGGACAGAGTAGCTTGCTGGCAATAAAGCCCTCACAATCCTATGAAAGACAGAGATCTACGCTGGCCCCTTCGATTAGCTTTTTCCTGCAACACCACAGTGATTAGTATTCTTTTTATTTGGACCCATTATGACACCTGCTTTATTTTTCCTGTAAAATACCATCATGGCAGCCTTGCAAAATTTCCTAATAGATTTTTCATGATCATCAGCCTTTTGCAGGGTAAAGGGAACGAGAGTAGACGATGTGCCTGGGTTGGTAAAATTTCAGGACAGTTTTGCAAGGCAGCACAATGTTCTCAAAGAGCAGCATCCTACAATGGGATCCATTTGGGTCATGCCGTGCTCATTGCAGGATGCGGGGAGGGGCAGATCTGGAAGAGCTGTTAATGCCCAAACAATAATAATAAGCAATAATTACTTTGTTGCTTGCATAGGTGCGGCAACTAGGGGTGCAGGGGGTGCTGCAGCACCCCCAGGTTTTCTGCCAGGCTCTGCTCCCAGCCCCGCGCTCAGGGTCCTGGCTGCTGGCCCCACACCCTAGGCTCCTCTCCTGGCCCCGTGCCTACCCCCAGCCTCAGCCCCCTTACCCCTGTCTGGGTCCCCCCTCCTGGAGACACGACCCTGCTTCTGGCCCCAGCTCTGGGGGTGGGATGGGGGGGCAGACAGGGGAAAGGGGGCTGGCTTTCAGCACCCCCACTATTAAAAGTGTTGCAGTGACATTGGTTTCTTGTTGATGCTGAAGGAACTTTATTTAAAAACTGAAAAAGAACAAACACGTTGGCAATGCTGCGCTCCCCACTCAAAGTGCAATGCACCCCAAACTAGAAAGTCCAGACAAAGCCCTGCACCCCACTGAGGGCCTTCATCTGGGTCCTCTGTCCTGGGTTGAATGGCTAAAGCACCTGATGGGTCTGATTCTCCTATTATTTACACTGGCCGATAACCAGGTGTAGCTCCACTGTTGACAATGGTTTGGGTTGTATGAGCCCCCTCTCGATGTGTAAACATGGCTTGGTATTTTAACTCTCCTTCCAAGGCATTCCTCATAGCGAGCACATTGACTGGGCTCACAAAAACCTGGAGCCAAACATCCCTGCCCTTTGGAGCCAGGAGGCGAGGCTAGACCTCAATTTCACAGCAGGACCCTATCTCAAAGTAGGGCTTAGGCGGGACATAGACCCCCATGCTGGCCCTCTGCGCAGGGACAAATTCCACCCAGACAGCTACCATGAAGCCCTTGGATGGAATGACCCCTGAGATGAAGCTCGCTGACTATAGACTATTGGGAGAGAGCTTGACACTGTTTGTCACCCGTTCTGGAGCAGACACTAAATGTGAATAAGTCAGTACAGGCTCAGGGAGAATTAATTAATGTCTGTTAAAAGGCTCCAGATGGTTAGTCCTGGAAACAGACATTCTCTATGGATGCACGGGCCAGGGGCACAGGTTTACCGCCATCCTGCCCTGCCAACAGACCTCAGCCCTACCTGGGGAGCAGAGAGCGTTCAGCCTTCATGTGTATTGTTCTGCATACAGTGGGAGCACCCCAAAGCCCCATAGTACCAGGTGATACATTTTATTTGGCCTAGTGTCGTTCATAATGATGCTTCCAGGATTGCACCAGGAGTTATACAATTCAGGCAAATGCCTGTGTAACGTGTAATGAAGGCATTGGAGAAATGTGAATGGCGTCGGTTACAGTGTCAGCCTGGGCTATATTATTTGTGGTGTGCTCTTGTACATTTCACTGTGTGTCTTTTAAAAATCGGGCTTTGGGTTTGTTTTTAATTGGCATTCCAATTTGAAAGTGTTTGCAAGTATCATGGTATGACCGTGCATTTGTAATACACTGGTTCTATGTGTGTGTGCATGTGTGTTATCATGCCTCCATCTCATAGCTAGCCCTTGTGACTAGAGTAGCCAGCTACTTACTATTAATGGAGAAACTCCTCTTGCTCACGTGGTAGGGACCTGTGTTTTTGTTGCTGGCAGTTCTGCATTCTATCCCCTGCTGATGATGGCAGTGTCTGTATGTGGCTTTAGTTCAGCACACCTACAGCTTGGCAGTCATTTGAGCACGAGGCTGCAAGGAAATGCACAGCTCTTACTTGTATTCATGATGTGTGCACGATTTTATAGAGGTATATTGGCCATCCATCATGATAACTGCCTCACAGGCATGCTGTTTGTGTATGCATCATTGTAGTGCTGGCTACAGTCAAAGAACCAGGATTGGCACCACTATGACTTTAGAACCAGCCTTGCAATGTTCACTATTCTACTGCTTTTGCGTCAGTGTCACACAATATATATGTGATGTTCTCTTGACAATCCCCCACAAATGTTACTCAGCCAGAGTTAGCACATTCGGTGGGCACTGGGTGCCTGATAGAGCTGGTTGAGAATTTTCCATCAGAATGGTTTTCTGATGGAAAATGCCCTTTTTTCAAAAAACAATTTTTTTTTCTGTGGGAAAATTTCAATTTTGCCAAAATTTTTCAATTCTCCATTTGGAAAAATCAAAATGTCACTTCCCCGGCTGTGGGCCTGGAAGGCTTCTGCTGTTTCGCTTTCTTCCTGGGTGGGCAGATGGGAAGCCAAAAAATGCCGTTTTCAGTTCTCCCTCTGATTTCCTGAAAATCCCTTCCTGTGAAAATGTTATTTTGGACTTTTGATCCCAATTCAGGACAAGTATAAAAAATTTAAAAAATGAACTTTTTCATGGAAATGGATTTCCATTTTCTGGCCAGCTGTAGTGTCTAACTTGTTTAGGCCCATTTGAAAATCTCACTCTTTGTCATCCATCCCTGCCGCCAGTGGGAGGGGGGAGGAGTAGGGGCAGAATAGGTACTCTGAGTTCTTTAATCATTGCGTTTATTATCTTAACCTCTTGGTTTATCCTTCTGTTAACTCTTAGCTTATAGCAATGCTGTTTGTCCAAATCAGTGGTTAGCATGTTTCTAGCATTTTGTTTGGCAATCAGACCATTAAATGTCAATCGTTGTTCCTCCATATTGTTACGGCATCATGGATTGTTATCCATGCGTTTACCGATTATTATCCAGGCAATAGATTCTCCTTTCCTTCTCACTCCTCTCAGAGGGGCAAGTGCTTAGAAGAAGATGAACCCAAAGTGCTGGATCAGACAAGACCCTGCAGCTCACCGCCCTATGTCTCTAGGTGCTCATTGTTCATTAGAGCTGAGGATTGCTAATTTCATCAACATCAATTGCTACTGTAGTGTTGACTCAGTGTTGAGGCAGCGCACTGTGCAAACCACAGGACTGAGGCAACTAGAGATGGGGGAAGAAGGCACAGATCAGTTCTTAGGGCCCAGTGCACAGTTGTTTCCTACAGCACGTTCTTCACTGCTTTATTTGAGCCAGTTTTAAATTACTCAGGTGATGGGACTGCCCTGACTCCTCTTGGGAGACTATTCCCCAGTTGAAGATCTCACCAGTAGCCTAAATTTCTTTCACTCAACTCCATTGCATTACACACCTAGCTCTACCTCCTTGGGCCTCTTAAACAGTTCCACTCCTTCCTTGGTACAGTATTTACGCTCTCCAGATCCTTGTCGACAGCCTTATATGCCATCCCTCGTACTCATCATTAAGCCATACAAGTCACACATGGGCCTAATTCTCCACTCAGACTCAGGGGAGCCTTTTCCTGCTCCCATTGCAATCAATGGCAAAGCTTCTGCTGACTTCAACGGCAGCAGAATTGTCTCCCAATGGGGCTGCAAATGCTGCTGCCCTGGGCAGAAGTTGGCCCTCAGGGCCAGATCCAGAGCCTATTGAAGTCAGTGAAAGGACTCCCATTGGGTTCAAGCCTCTAGTCCTTTAATTCTGCTTTCACAAGCTGCTCCTGCCAGCCCTTTAATTTTGGGGAGCTTTGAACTCCACCCCGCCAACAATACCCATTTAAAAAGAAGAGGCACCTTAGTAAATCTTGCTGTTTGATACATTATGTGTGTGCTGTGGGGGAGGGGCGATTAGCCCTGGAGGTCTAAGGTTGTCTCAACCAGTCGGTCAGTCTGGGTGCTTTACAAGCTGCAGAATGGCCACAGGTATTGGCATGCAAGCCATGCCGCCTGATGGAGACGTGCCAGGTTACAAATGCATGTCAGTTTGTTATTTACAAGCGATTTGATAATAAAACGAGTACAAATTAGACCTGGCGGTTGCCCATTGTTTTTAAAGAGGTTGAAGAGGTCAGGACCACCATATGGTATGGAGCGGGAATCCGTGTCCTGTAAAGGACGCCACCAAAGCAGTATACGTTCGGCACAGTTCAGGTGTACAGTACGGAAGAAGACTGAGAGAGATACTACAGTGTTAGCAGGTACAAGGTGGCTTTAATAACAGCTGTAAGCAAAAGACATGCAGGGCATTTGTGAGCCCAGTATTGCTAAGTTTTAAGTTCCTAAACAGTATATCCAGCCGCTAAAGTAACAGCACAAACCCAGCCACTGCAAGTAGTTGGTCTTTGTCACTGGCAAACAATATCTGCCAAGTCTTCCCCTGAAATTAAGTTTCTTAAAAAAAAAAAGACCCAAACAACTGTACTGTAGAAATGCAACCCCAAAGTGAGCTCGCATACCCAGGGGAACCCCAGCCTGGGAAAACCCGTTGGACATTTGCCTGTCTGGATGGCTGTCCCCATCTGCCCCGTCCATTACTGCTTCATGCTCTTAATGGGCTCTGTTGATTGCCGGACGTCGGTCCACTCCTGCATGGTGTTCTGCAGGGCTTGTGTCTTCTCTTTGTCAACCTGCACATAATCGACCTTCTCGTCTGAGGCGACTGACGATGTGGAGGGCTGGGTACAGGGGAGGAGAACACAGAGTGACATAGTGATAGTACATCTAGCCCACTTCACTGCTTCTGCTGGCCTCATCTCTGTCCTCTCATACAATCTCACCACTCGTACTGCAAGAGCCTTCTTCTCTGCAGCTCTTGCTATCTGGAACCACCTGCCTATATCTCAGCCTTGGTAGCTCTTCATTTACATTACTTGCAAATGCCTTCTTAAGATCCCTCTTATTTTTTAATGAGGCCTTGATCAAAAGACTCCTATTGACTTAATAGGCTTTGGATCAGGCCCAAAGTGAGAGCCTGGTCTGAAAGAGGAGTGTAAAAATGATACCATGGGCTTCCATGTTTATTGTCTCTCAGCGACTCTGTGTCAAATGTGCTCAGTTTACAAGCAAAACAATATTGCTTTCTAACTGCCAGTGCTGCAAACTCAGCCTGGGATCTGAGAGTCCAACTGGGTTCTTTCCTTCTCAGTATGCAACTGTTAGCGACACAGTAGAAAGACTAGAATCTAGCTCCCCATCTCTTAGCTGTGTTGGCTCTGCAGGGCTAACAAGGAGTAAAAGATTATTTTTGTCATTCAAAGAAGCAGGTGTGGCTCCAAATTCACAGAAGGAGCAGATCTGCTGAGTGAGAAGATGCCGTTTGTACATAGTTGCTTTTCAGAGTAACTCTTTTGGAGAAACACAATCGAAAATCCCAGATCCAAACTTTGGAGGTTCAGAAAATCTTAAACTGGATCCAGATTAGATTTTTGTGGCTTTATGCCACCTCTCTAGTATGTGTATTGTTGTATTCTGTAATGTATGTAGTTGGCATGGAAGACACTATACACCATGCAGGTGCGTTGTATTTAAGATGCAGATTTGAACATAATGAAGAGCCAGTAACTCCATTACATGTTACCTAGAAGCCATTTTGCTGATGTTTCCCATCACTGGTCCATCTGGCTAGTCCTCATTTGGTGGCATCTTAATTGGCTCTGCAGAATTTGGCTCATAGATAGGGACTTCATTTTTCAAAAGTGACTTGTGATTTTGATGCTCAATTTGATACACCTTAAGGGAAGCCTGATTTTCCATGGTTAGGTGCTCAGCACTTTCTAAAAAGCAGTCCCCTTCCAGGTGTCTCAAGTTGGGCATCCAAATCACAAGTCATTTCGGATCATTTACTCCAGGGCACTTTGGAGATCCTGCATGTGAAAATGTAAGAAAGGAATGAGGGGATCTAATCCAGCTCCCATAGAAAGGGACATCTTCCCATTGACTTCAGTGAAAGCTGAATTAAGTCTAATATAGGATCTATAGTAGGTGGGCCAAATTCCGCTCTCCTTTACAGCCATAAAAGCCATTGCCTCCAATGGTCTTAGTTACACCTCCAGTGCAGCTGCAGGTATGTGAGTAAGGGCAGAATTTGGCCTAGAATAATATACAGGGCCAGATCCTCAGGTGGATTAAATGGATCCAACACTACTGACATCACTGAAGCAGTGCCTCCTTATCGCCGCTGAACATCGGGCCCCTGTTGTTTGTTGAGCTGGCTTCAAACCATTAAAAATATATAATATTTAATTAAACATTTTTTTAAAAAACCAAGATACCTTTCTGTGTGGCCCAGGTGAGTTTGGCTGGAAGTCCAGGGCTAGATAATCCACACTTCCTGAACTCTTTTTTGCTGCTGGGCTGTTGGTGCCACTAGGAACCGGAGAAGCAGAAACAGGATTTTGCTAATGTGGGAAAGAGGTGGGAGAAAAAAGGGTTAATGAAACAAGGAGAATACAAGGGACCTAAAACCAAAATCCATCATTGGTAGAACTTTAAGGGAGAGCCTGGCCTGAATTCCCCCCTCACTTACCCCTCTGCAATTTGGGTCAGGAGCCATGAGAACAGCACAGTGGACTGAATTCAGTGGGGTCCTATAGCCCAAATCACATGCTTAACTTGATGCACCTGAGCAGTCTCATTGACTTTGGTGGAACTACTCACATGCCTGAAGTTAAACATACGCTTAAGTGCTTTGCTGGAAGGAGGCCTTAGCATGGCCATAATTGGGCCCAGAATCATCATTACACTTCGCTACACTGCACTGCAGGTAGATTTAATCAACAGTGTTAAATACAACTGTATGCAATGTGCTGTAGCCATGTTGGTCCCAGGATATTAGAGAGACAAGGTGGGTGAGGTGGTATCTTTTATTGAACCTTCTGTTGTTGACAGAGACAAGCTTTCGAGCTAACACGGAGCTCTTCTTCAGGTCTGGGAAATGTGTACACACTGTGAATACATTTCCCAGCATGACAAAGAGCTCTGTGTAAGCTTTAATACAATTGATTAATAATAGGTCATGGGGTAGCAGCGTTGTAAGAGACACAAATTCTCCTGTCTCATCAACGTCACTTGTTATAGCAGCTGGGAACCTGTCTTTTCATGCCTGGGGCAAGATGGATGGCTCCTGTCCCACACACAGTCAGAGAATGCCAGCACTTCCTGTGGGAGAAGGGTCTAAAAATCAATCTAAAAATAAGCAGGTACAATAAAATGTGGCATGGCATTAAAATAATAGAGTTTTTGGTCCTTCAGTTCCCAGAGAGGACCATGATATGATGTAGAGTAGTACTTAATAAAGGGAGGGTCATTTTTGAGCTTTCTGGTGTGGGAGGGAGAAGCACACGGTATGTCTGTGTCCACTCTCATTCTCTGCTTCCACAACGTAAAACAATAATTAAAAAACAATAGGATGTTTCATATAGATACATGTTAGAATGCCATGTTACAAAAAACCGCCTTGTAATCCGTATAAGGATATATACTGGCCTTATCACCATAGATCTGAGTATCTTTAACACCACGGTCGCAAACACCGTGGTTTGCATTTATAGAGCCCAAGTCACTGCAGGACATAGGTAGCTTGCCAGTCCTAACAGGACTTACCATGGCCACGTAGTTTTCCTCACTGTCTCCCGAGTCAGTGCTGGTGATGCTCTGGGTGGAGACCGGGCGGCAGTATTGTGAGGCGCTGGAGTTGAAAGTCTGGCTGCAATGAGAGGTGCCAATGAGTTAGTTACAGCCACAGGACCCCACTGCTCACCACTTACTAGGGATGGGTCAGAGCTGCAGAGCTGGGCTCCAAGTCTGAACTTTCCTGCAGCTCATGAATGAAATCCAGGGTTTTGGTGCCACTTAAGAAGGACCATTTATAAAGTTTGTCTCCACAACCCAACCTTCCCATAGTCCAGGGAGGGTCCAGATTTGGGCCTTTAGCTCTGCCTCATTTCTGTTTAATATCACCGTGTTTCTTTATGTAGCCCCAATTCTCCTGCTACCATATTACTAGAGTCCAGGCTCCATAAACTCTTTTATCTCACAGGATGTATTTAATTGCAATCCCCATATGATGGCACATAGAGCCCCCGAGCTTCTTGCGCCATTTCCCCTCCATACTAATCACAGCTTCAAGCTTGCGTTTACTGTGCAGTAGCCTACTTGCATTTTGATGGCAGGCTAGACCTTGAAGGCCTCATCTTGTTTTCAGTCAACCAGATCTAATTACTGCATAAGGAATAACATAATGCAATCAGAGTCTGTTACTGAAGTTCCCATCTTAAAAAGCTATTGGTTGCCAGGCAGTAAAATAGGGTCATAAAATTAGTCGATAAGGGAAAAATCCATTAGCTGCTGTGGGGTCAGGCGTCCTGTCAATCAAAACCCAAGCTCTGTATGTTTCCTAATGTAGTGATCTGAGCACACAGCTCTCATGCCCTGCAGTCAGTCTCCAAACAATCCAATTTATTATAACTGTCATAACAGCCAATGTCCCCATATAGGACAATGTCAGACTATGAATTAGTGGCAGAACTGGAGTTGTGTGAATCCTGGCACTTTTGGCTTAGAGGGTTTGGTATGAAGCTCTTTAGTTTCAATTTGCAGAGTTCCTCTCAGCTGAGCTTTGCTTTAAGGGCCCTCAAAGCAAAACTCAGTCAAAACCTTTTGAGTTCCATCCTGTTTTGCACTGACACTGTGGGCTTCAGCTAGTTTTGATATGAAACCATATATTGACTCCAGGTTCAGCTGAGTCTGGGTTCACTCAAAGATTTTGTAAACCTCAGCCAGCCAATGACTACCCTGGCTCTGAGTTTGGATCAAGTCACTGACTTAGGTGTGGTTTGGGTTATGCACAACTCTGAAAAAGGCAACAATCTCCAAGTGAGATTAACCATTGGACTTTTTGTTAGTAATTAGCACTTTGTAATGCACTGGATTTCAATGTCAAATTTGAGACAATTCTCCTGTATTCACAGAGTTTTATCACACCATCAGGTAGAAAATTAGCAAATGCTGATGCATTTCTCTGGATGGGCTAGAATTGGGACCAAGACTGTAATTTCAGATCTGAACATCACCATGCTTTGAGAAAGTCTGATCCAGATTGAAACTTTGCAGCTGGCCCCTGCTTATAAAACGGACCAAGCCAAAACCCTGAATCCAGACATCCTCAAGCTTTTAGGGAAGTTCAGATCTGGCTCCAGACTTTGCAGCTGGGGCCCATTTCCAGCTCAGAATCAAAATGCAAGTCTTGCAAGATAGAAGACACATCCCCGTAACAGCAAGAGATGTTAAAGAGACCAGGACAACAAGAACCCGAATGGTCTTTTTGGTGCTGACTACACTGGAGATCTAGGGTCAGTTACTTCTCAGTCACACCGGTGTAAATCCAGCGTCTCCATTGACTGCAATAACCATATTCCAGAATGACATAGATATTACTGAGACTAGAATGTGGCTCCTAGTGAATTAGCTATGCCATCACAATCTATCACCCTGAAGCTAAGTAAGTCCAGCTAATGTGGACACGGCCTGAGCTTGGCCCATGGTGGTGTTGCAGGAGTTAAGACTCCCCCCCAGTCTACTCACATAGGTCTGGACCAAGATTTGGTGACGGGCGATTTGAAGGGAAGCTCATCGATGACCGTGTTGTTTCTCAGGTCCAGAGGCGTTGGCTTTGCTATCGCAGAAGGAGGATTTATTCATCAGTGAACATGTTCTTTAAGTTCTCCCTAACACTAAATCACCATCTTTTAAAAAATAAAATGCAAAGGCCTCCACAGCCATGTGGATGATTCCCCCCCCCCCCGCTTTTATAGAGGTCTATAAAATCATGAATGGTGTGGAGAAAGTGAATAAGGTATTTACCCCTTCATATAACATAAGAACTAGGGGTCACCCAGTGAAATGAATATGCAATAGATTTAAAACAAACATAAGGAAATACTTCTTCACACAATGCACTGTCAACCTGTGGAACTTGTTGCCAGGGGATGTTGTGAAGGACAAAAGTATAACTGAGTTCAAAAAAGAACTAGATACGTTCATGGAGGATAGGTCCATCAGTGGCTATTAGCCAAGATGGTCAGGGATGTAACCCCATGCTCTGGGTGACCCTAAGCCTCTGACTGCCAGAAGCTGGGAGTGGACGACAGGGGATGGATCACTCGATAATTGACTTGTTCTGTTCACTCCCTCTGAAGCATCTGGTATTGGCCACTGTTGGAAGACAGGATACTGGCCTAGATGGACCATTGGTCTGACCCAGTATGGTTGTTCTTATGTTCTTAAAACACAGACTAGTGGCCTAATCCTGTCATGTGCTGGGCACCTCATGCCTGTTGAACAGCACCCTCACACATTCAGTATCTCCGAGCCATAGATTTGACACCCAAAAGGGATCATTAGATCATCTAGTCTGAGTTCTTGTGTAACACAGGCAAGAGAATTTACCCAGCAATTCCTGCATTTCATCTCCACTGCACTGGGCGGTACAACACCCAGGCTGCAGCTTCCATCTGAATGTGTGAGAAACCAGGAGACTTTCCAAGTTGCTCTGAATTACAGTCTGTTCTTTTATTTTCAAAATGGTGAATTTAAGCAAATGGTTAATTAATCAGTTACGACAATCGAAAAACATGACAGCTTAAAAGGTCTCCTGCTGTTTCCTGAACTCAGATGATTATTGGTGTTATGGCAGGGGCTACAGAGATGGTGCTAGGCGCTGTACATACTCATAGTGTATGTCTCCATTTTGAGCGGGAGGTATAACTTCCAGAACAAGGAGACATACCCGTGTGAGCTCTGATGGAGCGAGTGCGCTAAAAGTAGAATGCAACTAGCCTGGTTCGCTGCACAAGCACGTACCTCGGGCAGCTAGCCCCTCCCACGGGCTGCGCTTTATTTTTAGTGCGCTAGCTCATTCAGAGCTAGCATGGGAATGTTTCCTCAATTACACTGCCAGCTCCAAGGGTAGAAGTACCCATAGCAAGAAACAGTCCCTGCTGCAAGTCTAAACAGAACTGGTATCCCCATTTCACAGAGGGGGACTAAGAGCCTTACCCATACAGGAAGCCGGAGACAGAATCAGGGCTTGAACCTACAGTGCCAGACACCAATGCCTTAACCACAACACCACCTTCTTCTCAAAGAGAGCTGTGGTGCCCAGTGGCCTAATCTACATGAGGAGGATGGAGCTCTGTATTTCCCACTTGGACCTTTCAGTATAATGGCAGGTTCTGGGGAGAGACCATGCACCGCTATAAAGGGAGCGCTGATCCAGCTCCCTTTGAAGACAATGGGGTTGTTAGTAGGCCCATAGTAACACGTGACCGGTGTGTCAAGTACATGATTTGAAGGTACATTTTTTGGTATGCAGATTACTTGCTATGGGAAAGATTTCTTCTGCGGGGATGTGGGGGGAGGGGGGAAGCAAGGACCTTCCCCATTATAGGGCCTTGTGTAAAGGCCAGGAAGAACTCCACTTATTGTGCATAAGGGCTATGAAGGTTGTGTCATCCCTGAAGATGGAAGAGGAGTGGGGAGGGGTTGGGGCTAAGGCTCTGTACACAGATCCTGGTTAGAGCTGCTCAGAAATTGGAATTTTTGTTTCATGGTAAATTCCAAAACTTGAGTGTTCCCCCTTCACCCCTCCCCCCGCCCCTTCAAACTGAAAAACCAAACTTTCTCATGGAACAAAAATTTGCCCCAAAATTTTGATTTGGAAAAAGGTTAAAAAGTTTAATTTTTTAGCCATTTATATTCTGTTCCGTAAGTAGTTTTCTGAGTTGCTCTAATAGTGGCCCGTGCAGACGGCTGGCTGTGCTGGGGCAGGGAGCAGTGCCCCGCACAGGGCTGTGGCAGTCAATATGTGCTGGAGGGCTCTGAAAGGCAGTGAGTGCCCTTCCCCGTGTTTGCCTGGAGGCTGTGCACCACTGTTCCCCCATGGTTATGTGGCACAATCTGATACTTCTATTCAGCTGTCTGAAGTATTATAATTAGCCATGGCAGAGTTCCTGTGAAGATTCCCCTCAAGTACAGGAGTTTCTGTCCAAGGAACTGGTCTTACCTTTCCGGTCGGGTTTGAGGTTGCGGTTGACCGGAGGGGGTTGGATTTCGCTCAGCCGCCTGTGGCACTGGGAAATGGCTCCTCCTTTATGGACTGGGAGGGTCGTCGAGGACAATCCCAGCAGGTCAAAGTGGTGTGGACCAGGGCTCATGGGGATGTAGAGATTCTGGGAATTGTCATTCGCTTTCTCCATGTTCAGCAGGGATGAGGAGCCTGGGTTCATTGGGACATAATTGTCCTCGGAGTCAGCACTGTGGGAGCGAGCCACTGCGGCTCTGGCTTGCTGCAAAGCACAGGGAAGTCAAGGGTCAAGAGGATATTTAGTGTGGTATGGAATACGAGCAGCAGTATTCTCACTGTGGCCTAGACTCCAGAGTATAATCCCTCCAGTGATGAGCTGCCAAAAACTTAACAACGGGTTCCCTCCTCACCCCATGCAGGGGTCGTTGCCCACCCCTGCCCCCCCAGGACTCCTGCCCCATCCAACCGCCCCGCATTCCTTGATGCCCCCCCGGGACCCCTGCCTTATCCACCTCCCTCCCCTGTCCCCTGACTGCCCCCAGAACCGGGCAGAAGGGTCTCATGGGCCACCGTAGTGGGTGCCCACCCCACCCCTAAGAGCGAGAGGGACCTGCTGGGGGCGAGGTAGGGAGTCCCGGTGGTGCTTACCTGGGGCAGCTCCCAGGAAGCATCCGGCAGGTCCCTCTGGTTCCTAGGGGCGGGGGAGCGTAGCTGGGGGGGAGCAGGGGGAGCGGCCGCTTCCCCACTGATCACATCAAAAGTGGCGCCTTAGGCGCCGACGCCCTGGGTGCTCCGGAGCACCCACCAGCAGCTCCCCACCCCGTGCCCGGCCCCAGCTCATCTCCGCTCCACTCCGCCTCCTCCCCTGAACCCACCGCCCTGCTCTGCTTCTCCGCGCCGCCCCCAGCTTCCCACGAATCAGCTGTTTGGCGGGAAGCCGGGGAGGACTGAGAAGCAGGCTGTGGCTTCCCACTCAGGCCGAGGGTGGCGGAGGTGAGCTGGGGCGGGGAACGGTTCCCCTGCACCCCCCCACCCCCGGGTTACCTGCTGCGGCGCGGGTGGCCCTCCTCGCGTCCTCCACCCCAGCTCACCTCCGCCTCCCTGGGCCTGAGTGTGAAGCTGCCGCTTGCTTCTCAGCCTGCCCCGGCTTCCCGTGCGAACAGCTGATTCGCAGGAAGCCTGGGGGGCAGAGAAGCACAGTGGGGCGGCGCATTCATGGGAGGAGGTGGAGGCGGAGCAGAGGTGAGGTGAGCTGGGGCCGGGGGTGGGGTGGGGAACTGCTGATGGGTGCTCTGCACCCACCAAATTTTCCCCGGGGATGCTCCAGGGCTGGAGCACCCGTGGAGTCGGCGCCTTAGGCGCCACTTTTGGCTGGTTAAATTTAGAAGCCCTTTTAGAACCGGTTGTCCCTAGCGGAACAACCAGTTCTAAAAGGGCTTCTGAATTTAACAACCAGTTCTAGAGAACCGGTGCGAACCGGCTCCAGCTCACCACTGAATCCCTCCCTGTCACAGTGAGCAGACATTTACACTGGAGATGGGATCAAAGCTGCCAAATTCACGTCAGCCTTTGGATCTGAACGTCAAACAGTTCCCAGTTCAGGGGAGTTCTGGTGTTGATTCTCAACCTTTCTTTGCTCCCATTCAGCTGTAATTTCTGGGCTAGCCTTTAGTGCTAGAGAGAAGCAGAGCTACCTTTAATATTACAATTGATTTCCAGCATTGCCTAAGGTATGCTAGGCACTTTCCAAACAGGGAAAGAGAAAACAATCCCTGCCCCAAGGAGCTGACATTTTCTGTCCTCCTTAGCGAGTGTCTTTGCTTGACCCAAGTGCTCCGTAGCTCCTGTCAGCTTTCCCCCAGCTCCTGGTTTTAATAATCCCTCTGCGCTAGTTTCCACTTGGGTTAAGGTGAAACCCATCCCTTTGGTATCAGGTCTCCTCCTTTCCTTAAGGAATCTCTAATAAATTTAAACCTCCCCACTACAACATCTTCTCATCCTCACGTTGAGACCCTGATGGTTCCCTGACTAGCTGGCCCAGGTGTGGCGCTAACCCCAGCATGCTAATTTAGCTTCCAAGACCTCCTTCCTACACCTCCCTATGTCATTTATACCAATATGTACCACAACCACAGGATCCTCCCCAGCACTCTGTGGATGTTCGTCTAGATGTCCGTCTAGATGTCCATTGAGACCCAACTTCACAGCCAGTAGGGAAGTAAACAAGGCTACCTCACCACATTTCCCATTATCAGTATTTCTAGTGACCATGTCTCCAACCACAACTCTATCCAGTTTCCGGATGTGACATCGCTACATGAGGAATGATCAGATTCCTCTACCTCTCTTGGAAGGCAGGGCCCATCCATTGGCCCTTCCACTACACTTTAGCCACCTCCCATCATGACACTGGCTCCCTTACAGGGATGGTTGGGACAGCCTGCTGTGAGGTGGACTGGATTTACAGTGTCCCTATAATGGCCTGTAAATAACTCGGCATCTCAATTCCTCCAGCTCAGGAACTCTGGCTTTTCAAGATGCTGTAGTTAGGCACTGAGTATCACAAGGATATTGAGCTGGGAGGATGGTTTGAATTCCCAGATCTGGACCCGTTTGTGTGGCCTCAGAGCATGATTGCAGAAGGTCTGCAAACTCAGAAATGAGCTTTTTCATTTCCACTGTGAATTTTGCACACAGCTCTGATAATGATCTTTATCAAAACATCTCACTGAGCTCCAAGTTCAGGGTGGGGATTAAAGATGGGATGGTGGAATCCATCCAGATAAACTCACGCAAACTTCAAACTGAACTGAACCTTCTCGGAGGTTAGAAAATAGTTCAGCTAACTCTGTTTCTCATGTATCTCTGCATGTCCTGGCTCCAGCCATGACAGAAATGCAGTGCAAGAGGCTGGTTTAATGGTATTTCCAGTTCAAAAGGAAGCAGGAAATATCAGAATTCTCATGATAGAGTCTGTGTTGGCAACATTTCCAGCCCAGCTCTGCAGAATCATAGATTCAGATTCATAGATTATATTTCCAGAAAAGACCATTAAATCATATAGTCTGACCCCCTATATATCACAGGCTCTTACATTTCACACAGTTACCCCTGCATAACTTGTGCTGGGCTAAAGCACATCTTCCATTAAGGCACCCAGTCGTGACCTGAAGACGTCAAGAGATGGAGAATCCACCACTTCCATTGGTAGTTTGCTTGAATGGTTAAAACGCAGGATGTTTACGGTTTGTGTAAGCATCCAAATCAAATCTCAGTTCTCAATAGTGTGAGCTTATCTAGCTACTAGGAAACAACTGTTAAGTTGGTCATCACCAGGATTGAACCAGACTTCCAGGGCTCCAGCATGAGCTGAAGGACGAAGGCTTCAATTCTGCTTTCACTGAAGTCAAAGCAAAACTTGCATTGAGTCAATGGAGCCAGCTCAAGCCCTAGGTCCCCAAGCTGGCAGCCGTGGCGGAGTCACAGTGACATTTTCAGTAAGGCACAAAATTCTACACTTGCCATGGAAGGCATGACCTGGCATGTACTTTGTATGGACGTCATTTTGTAGAACAAAATGGCATCCTCCATGCGCATTCAGGGGCCGGTCGGAATTGTACCGGAGGCAAAGCCAGTCCTGGGGCATGTAATGTGTGTGTTGCATAATGGATGGCAGACTCACTTCCTTTGTGGCTGAGGGGGACACATGACACACACTGACGAGTGGGTGATAGTGGCATCAGCTTACCAGATATGAGTTGAACCCGTCATTCACAGACTCTGCTGACTGAACTGTGCTGCTGCCACCATGCTGGGGGTATTCGTAAGTCTCACAGGAAGAAGCTGAAACACAAATCATGGATTCACAATACACACGGCGCCTGCTTGTGACTCCTCTAGTTCTAATAGTGCCCCTGACACATGGAGCCCTCAACAGCTCACCTTTAACTATGGCTGGTTATTGCTATACCGTAAATGCTGTGTGTTTAGGTTAGCAGAGGATGGGTATCTGCGCAAGGAGTTCTGAAACTGTGCAAGTCTTCTCTCTTTTTTTTCTATCCCATCTCAAACAGGTTGGTCTAAGTACTCCACAGCCATTTTATTCATTTATCCTCACTGATGGCTAGTGAGGGTGGTAACAGCATTTGGCTGCAGCTGACCTAGCTCAGCCTGGAATGGGTGTCCTGGAGGGAAAGGCCCCACCTTACATTAACTATTCTCCTCGGCCAGTTAGTTCCTTGCAGCTTTACACTAAACATTTAAAAAGTGCATGGTGTGTGTGTCCAGCTGGAGATGGACCGACTCTGATTTTCAGAGGTGCTGAAGAACCACCGCTCCAGTCAGAGTCAATGGGAGCTGCAGCTGCTGTGAAAATCAGGCCTGGAGAGCACTGAAAATTACCTTTAGTTATCTCAGGTTGGGCGCCCAAACTTCGAGGCCTCCAAAATCAGTGGCAGCTTTTGAAAACATTGGCCATACGTTGAATTAAAAGTCAAATGTACCGGCAGGAGCTGAGAAAAATATGGGCCTGAAAGGCGGTGTTTTGATCTAGATCTGAACTTCCCCAAAGTTTGGGGGTGACTGAATCTGGGGTTTCGGTTCAGCCCTTTATGCAGACAAGAACCAACTACAGAATTTGGACATACCCAAAAATTCAGGAGTGTTCATATATGCCACAGGTCCATCCCCTTAATATGTAGCACCAGCTGCTCAGTTGGAATAAACCAGTGCACCTCCATTGATTTCAGTTGAACTATGCTGATCTACACAGGCTGAGCATCTGGCTCCACTTCTCTCTAAGGGAGTCAGCATCTTTGGCTGTACTGTTCAACTTGATATCTGGGGAAAAGATGCCTTGCCCCACCACACCCCCATTTAAATGTAACACTTACCTCGATGTAGTCTGCTGTTCTCCACTGCTGGTAACGTGTTCCTCCTGGGAATGGTAGCCGCCACGGAGACCATACCTATGCTTTCACCATTCGGCGGGCGCTGCTGGGGGCTGCCCCACCGTGACTCTATCTGCCCTGGTTTAGGGGGCCGGGGTGGGGGAGCAGCGGATGAATCACTGGAGGCCACGGCCAGCGTGTTGTGGTTCTTGTCCAGTGTGAATGTCCTTGGGATCTGGTATACAGAAAGAGGGGTGACGGGGATGTCATAGGAGTCCGTGGAGAGCTCCCCAAACTCCTTGCACAGGGTGTTGTTGGGAGTCTTAAAGGTATAGACCTCCTCGTTATCCGTGTCAGAGCCCGTGAGGCTGGCTTTGGTGTGAGTGTAAGAGCCAAAGCTCCGCGGGAGGTCGTAGGCACTGTCCCTGAGCTCTGAATTGTGTCTGCTGGGCTTCGGCAAGCTGTAGAATCCGTGGACTTGCCCGCCGACCCCGTTCACACAGTGTCCGTTGCCCTGGGAGAGTTTCTGAACGGCCGTGTCGCTCTTCATGAAGAATGAGGACCTTGTGGCTTGGGAGAAACTGGCGCTCCTAGGAAAGAGGAAAGGGTGTGGCTTAGCTCTCCGAGGCAGTGTGGCCAATGGCTACAGCAGGGGTCTGGGCATCTGGAGAGCCACTGACTTGCTCGGTGATCATGGGCAAGTCACGTGCTACACTCCCTGTGCCTCCCCAGCCTGTACAAGTGGAGAAAGACACCTGCCTCACTTGGCTCCACCACAGAGCAAAATCCCCTGAGGGGAAACCTGGGGGCAGCAACAGGAGGGGAGCAGGAAGGGAATTCAGAGGCACAGAGCTTTCATGGTTAACCTGGGATTTGAGCTGTAGGGGGCCAGCCCCCTGGCTGTGTACTAGGGCTGGACAAACTCCACCTCCCTGATGGTCCGATTCAGAGCCCTTCCCTGTGGAAGGTATGATTTGGTTGTGACAGAATGCACTCCTGTGTTCACACCCTATTGTTGTCATTTTTGTACAAAGTGTGCCTTGTGAGGTACCATTGGGAAACTCATAATTTGCAGGTCAGTCTTGTCCTGATAAAATATGTGTGGCAACATTGTATGTGAAGTTATAAGATTTTCCTATGTGATGTTATTACCCTCTGTTCCAAACCCCACAGCCCCGCCCAAACAGAAGTTGGCAAACAGGTCTGTCCTAACACAAAGGAAAGTATGCTCTGCTAAATTTGCATTTAAGTGGTAAACGGAGTCATCAAACAGGGAGGGAAAACAAAGGAAGTTCAAACAGGTGAAAAAAAAACCCAGTGGGGAACATCCTTCCACATAGACTCTGTGTCTCCTGGGTTTCAGCTGGAAATGTTTTTCAAGAGGGGGACTGAAACTATAAAAAGGGACAGGACAACACCCCCCCCCCCAGCACTTCTCTCTCCCTCCCTGTCCAGTGCATTCACTGCACCTGAAGAGACAAAGGAAGCAGCTGTTGGACTCTGGGAGAAGTGGTCCTGATGTAAAGAGTTTGGGCAGTAAGCCTGCTGAAATTATGTGGTGAGAAGACTTTGCTTTGAATCTTATATAGTTTCTTAAATTAGGCATCAGGAGGCGTTTTATCTTTATTTTTCATGTAACCATTTCTGATTTTTATGCCTTATTACTTGTACTCTCTTAAAATCTCTTTGTAGTTGATAAACTTGTTTTATTGTTTTATCTAATCCAGTGTGTTCAGGTTGACATAGCTGGGTCACTCCATTTGGGGTAGCAAGCTGTGTTCCCTCTAAGATGCACGCTTACCCGGCCACACAGGAACCCATCAAAGGCTGCACATCAGCAGCGCTGGCATACACACAGGGGAGCGTGGAGGACGTGTAGGGTGGGTGGGGGCAGTGGGGTGAGGTGATGGGGGTTTGGAGGAGCATGGAAAGTGCAGGGCTACGAGGGTGGGGGGGGGGGAAACGAGATGCCTCTCTCCTGGCCCAAGCTCCGTGGCTGCGGCAGAGATGGGAGAGACGTCTCTCTCCCAACTCCAGGGCCGGAGGAGTCCTTTCACCCCACCGCAGCCCCGGAGCTGGGGGAGCCTTGGGAGTCAAGAGACTTTGGCTCTTTCTCCAGCTCTGCCATTCAGTTTCTTGGGAAGTCACCTCACTCCACGCTGTGCCTCAGTTTCCCCATTTTCGAGATGGGAATAATGATATTGACCTTCCTCTGCAAAACACTTTGAGATTTATAAATGAAAAGCACTAAATCTGGTTGGCTTTTATATTTGTGTTTTAAAAGGAAATTACCAAAACTAGGACTAATGGAAATGTTTTTGTGACTGTTTTCGTCGGATTTCCAATGACGACAATTCCCTGAGTGGTGAGTGTTGGGGGGCTGCAGGGTGAGGGGTTAAGGGGAGTGGGGTATGTTGGGGGCAATGTGGTGAGTTGTGGGCGTTGTAGGGGAAATGGGGATGTCGGGGGGTGGTGGGTAGTTTGGGGACAAAGAAAATTTTAGATTTCAGAATTGGGAAACGGGTCCCTAACCTCTTCTTCAACCAGGGTCCTGTGTGGCCTTGTTGTGCCCTGATAATAGTGTTCCAGGGAAGATTTTGCCTGCAGTAAATTACACAGCGGAGCTGAAATTTGTTTCTGAGGTGTGTAACTTTTGTACACGGGGTAGGCAAGGGCCAGCAAAAGGATGGTTTTGTTTCTATTTTAAGATCCAGGCATGTCTCCCACAATGTGTGCCGATAAAGGTGCTGCTGTTCACAGAAACCATCACAAGATGGCGCTAAGAAATAGACTCATTTGAACAAAGACTGAGCATCACAAGACAATGCTGAATTTCACCAAGTGGATACTCAGCCCTTGGAATTTGGTTCCTGGGTCCCAGCCGGGTATTTTGACTCTGACAGTGACTTACATCAGATGCCCCAGAGAAAGAGCCTTGCTTTGCCTTTCATCTGAGGATCTGAAAGTACTTTGCTAGGGTTAATTAGACAGTTCCCCCTAATGCTGCTGCCACATAGTGACTATTATCCCCATTTTACAGCTGGGTAAGACCCAGAGAGGTTACATGGGAACAGTACCAAGGAGCCCTGACACCTTGCTCTAGGGCTGTAACCATGCGTCAGGGAAGGAATTTTCTTCCAGACCCCTACTGGAGATCAGCTGATACCATGATCATGAAGGTTGACAGCCCTTATTATTTTTATCCCAGCTAATGTACCTGCAGATGCTTCTCTGGGCATTCGAATTATTTCTATAGAGTCCAGGTTAGAGCGGGGCAACATTTTTCGAGTGTAAATTTTTTCCAGTGAAAAATGCCGATCTGGTGACATGAAAATGTTTTGCGAATTCCTGTGCTGAAAACAAAACACAAAAATTCTTAATCTGGGCATGTTTCATTTCAACCTTTTCAAAATGAAATGTTTCAATATTTTCAGTCTGGAGCAACTTTTTGTTTAGAAATTTCCTATCATTTTACTTTTAAAAACAATTCAGAACCAATTTGAAAGGCTCAAAATCAAAACAAAACATGCTGTTCAACCCAAAACAAAGTTTCGTTTTACTTTTCGATTAACTGAACATTTGAAAAATTGTTTTCACTGCAGCCTGAAACTATTTCCTCACCCCCCCTCCAATTTTTCAGACTTATCAGTGAACCAAAAAATCCATTATTTGCACAGTGCTAGACCAGGTCACTGGCGTAAGGGGCCGTCTTATTCCTACTCCAAGGACATCTAGCCCTTGTTATCTTTCCTCCTTGTCTCAGATTCCTCTGTCACCAGGCTTGCAGAGGATGTGTGCAAAATGGTCTTTAGTCTCCAAGAGGCGTCTAACAGCTGGACCATGAGGAAGGTTATTTATAATGTTTCATTTATTCCATCTGAAGTTAATTTTTTTTATTGTTAGTGAAAGACAGATGCAGCAGGGAAATTCTGTGGGGACTCAGGAAAAGCCCCTGATCTCAGCAATCCAGTTGTGCTGTGACCTTTACTCCCGTCTTGTTCTCTCAGTAGTCCCTCCTCGTTGCTTATACTCTGCAAACCGGCTCTCCACTGTTTAAGGCAGCCCTTCCAGCTGGGAGGTGGGATGGCTGCCATTCTCCCATAAATACTTCACTGAACGTGACTGACAGCTGTGATGCAAACCAAGGTCTAGGGTACAGCAGGTTTGCACAGTCACCATATGAAACATCAGAAGGGTATCAAACAGCAGGCAAATCTACCCTTCCCTTGAAATAGAAAAATTGTTATTTTGTCCAGAAAGCTTTACATAAAGGTTAAAACTGGAAACGATGGGTCAGATTCATGCAGTGCAGAGGGACTAAAAAGCTGGGCAGCTTAGGATTCCTTTAGCTGGCATAGTCACTGCCAGCTCTTTTTGCTTTTTGCTGCCCCCTCTCAGCCACTCCAGCATAGGGGGCATGTCATGGACATAGAGAGGGAGAGAGGGCTTGGCCACAGTTCAGCTGCATGCTGGCAATCCCTAGCATTGGAACAGCCCCTGGAAGTCTTTACAGCTGGGTGTAATGTAGATGAGCCCCAAGGCTGCTCTAAATTATGCCATGGGCCACCCCACCCCACAGCAGCCCTTGGGATCGGGGGGACATTAAGACAGTTTAGAGCCAGCATTGCCCTCTCTTCAGCTGCCTAGATTCACTGATGCAGTGAGGCTGACATCATGCCTTTGATCAAGGCACAATTCTCATTCATGTCAGTGATAGATATGTGAGATTAAGTGACTTGCCCAAGATCACATAGCCAGTCAGTGGCAGAGCTGGAAGTAGACTCCAGTTGTCTGTAGCCAACCGCCAGCGCTCCCTCTGGATATAGCTCTGAGGGTGGAATATCATTGCTGATGTTACAGGGTTTCCCCCTACGTTTGCCCATTGACCTCCTACTGTACCTTGTATTTTCTGATTTTCGACTCATACACTGGTGCAGGAAGAGATAGTCCTGTGGGGCGCTGGCAGACAAGGTGGTCTGGACGTGGTTGGCAGGTGAATCGAAAGTGAACAAGGTAGGTTGGCTGGAGTGGGCAGGAGCTGACGACTTGCGTTCTCTGAGCAGGTGGTGGTTGGAGCTGTTTAGCTCGGCTGGGGAGGAGCGCGGACCATGGCTCACCAAGGGAATGTTCCTCAGAGTATCTGTGTGAGAAAAATACAGTGAGGATTATTAGCATGTAAACAGCTAGCCCTTTCTAGCTATAGCTCTACAAGCACCATGCAAAGGCGGAGGAGGAAAGCGAGACGTACAGTGGCCTACCCAAGAACACTCACTGTGTTTTTGGGTCACCATCACCTGGCTCTGCAGGCAAGTGTTCGACCCCTAGGCCACACTCCACTGCCACTCAATTAGACACTTACTTTCAGTCATCAAAGTTATACCTGTCTAGAGATCTCAGCTGCGATGCACTTAAAAATAACCGTGCAAACGCCACCAATCCAATGGCAGCTTTGCAGGCAGTCCGAACGCTGAATGGGCCATGGGAGTTTAAACTGTATTCTCACCTCCAGATCATGACTAACACACATTGACGGGGCAGCAAGGGCAAACTTGTGTTCCCACCGCCCCTCAGGCTGTGGATAAAGACAAGATTTAATTCTCCAGGGTTGCCCATCTGGTGCCTTTCACAAGCACTAATGATTCATGCCAACTACAGAGAATTCTTTCCTGGGTATCTGGCTGGTGAATCTTGCCCATATGCTCAGGGTTTAGCAGATTGCCATATTTCAGGTCGGGAAGGAATTTTCCTCCAGGGCAGATTGGAAGAGGTCCTGGAGGTTTTTCGCCTTCCTCTGTAGCATGGGGCATGGGTCACTTGCTGGAGGATTCCCTGCTCCTTGAAGTCTTTAAACCACGATTCGAGGACTTCAATAGCTCAGACATAGGTGAGAGGTTTTTCGCAGGAGTGGGTGGGTGAGATTCTGTGGCCTGCGTTGTGCAGGAGGTCGGACTAGATGATCATAATGGTCCCGTCTGACCTAAATATCTATGAATCTATGAACCTTGTCCTTAATAATTTGAACTTTAGATTCTTTAGGAAAATGCTCAGGAGATGGTTTTGCTTATGGTTATTAGTGACATAGTCATGCAGGAACCCACCATATTCCTCAGCATGGGAAACACAGACAGTTATTGGTGCTGGCGTTAAATTAGTGAGTATCTGCTGACAAAGCCACCTAGGTGATCATAGAATCATAGACTATCAGGGTTGGAAGGGACCTCAGGAGGTCATCTAGTCCAACCCCCTGCTCAAAGCAGGACCAGTCCCCAACTAAATCATCCCAGCCAGGGTTTTGTCAAGCCTGACCTTAAAAACCTCAAAGGGAGGAAATTCCACCACCTCCTTAGGTAACCCATTCCAGTGCTTCACCACCCTCCTAGTGAAAAAGTTTTTCCTAATATCCAACCTAAACCTCCCCCACTGCAACTTGAGACCATTACTCCTTGTTCTGTCATCTGCTACCACTGAGAACAGTATAGAGCCATCCTCTTTGGAACCCCCTTTCAGGTAGTTGAAAGCAGCTATCAAATCCCCCCCCCATTCTTCTCTTCTGCAGACTAAACAATCCCAGTTCCCTCAGCCTCTCCTCATAAGTCATGTGTTCTAGCCCCCTAATAATTTTTGTTACCCTCTGCTGGACGCTTTCCAATTTTTCCACATCCTTCTTCTAGTGTGGTGCCCAAAACTGGACACAGTACTCCAGATGAGGCCACACCAATGTTGAATAGAGGGGAACGATCACGTCTCTCAATCTGCTGGCAATGCCCCTACTTATACAGCCCAAAATGCCGTTAGCCTTCTTGGCAACAAGGGCACATTGTTGATCATATCCAGCTTCTCGTCCACTGTAACCCCTAGATCCTTTTCTGCAGGACTGCTGCCTAGCCATTCGGTCCCTAGTCTGTAGCGGTGCATGGGATTCTTCCATCCTAAGTGCAGGACTCTGCACTTGTCCTTGTTGAACCTCATCAGATTACTTTTGGCCCAATCCTCTAATTTGTCTAGGTCCCTCTGTATGCCATCCCTACCCTCCACCGTATCTATCACTCCTCCCAGTTTAGTATCATCTGCAAACTTGCTGAGGGTGCAGTCCACGCCATCCTCCAGATCATTAATGAAGATATTGAACAAAACCGGCCCCAGGACCGACCCTTGGGGCACTCCACTTGATACCGGCTGCCAACTAGACATGGAGACATTGATCACTATCCGTTGAGCCCGACGATCTATCCAGCTTTCTATCCAGCTTATAATCCATTCATCCAGCCCATACTTCTTTAACTTGCTGGCAAGAATACTGTGGGAGACGTATCAAAAGCTTTGCTAAAGTCAAGGAATAACAAGTCCACTGCTTTTCCTTCATCCACAGAACCAATTATCTCATCATAGAGGCAATTCGATTAGTGATGTACACACACAAATACACCCAGGAACTGGAAACTGGGTCCAATGGTGCAACTATAAACTGGCAGCATCAAATGCCACCTTCTCTGCAGGGGAATATGGGGAAACAGAAGGAATTAAGTGGTTGTGGAGTAAATGGACTGAGGGCCGGGTCATGGAAGTCACCTAGCAGGAGGTTCTCAGCACTTGACAGGAATAGGAGGCTGTTTCTCCTCTCATTTACTCCAGTGAAAATCAGGAGAATGTTCCCTGAAGTCAAGAAGGTCACACTGGTGACAAACCAGCATGAGAGGAGAATATATTCAGGGTCTCTGCATAGGAAAGAATTAAACCAGGCTCCCACTGAAGGGCTCCTAAGGGCCTCTTTAAACAAGTTCTTTAGTTCCCAAGTTCTTGCCTTCAAGCTTAGCCCCAATTGATCCTGAGGAGGGAATACAAGAAGCAGGTGGCTGACTGCATTTGCCTTGCTGGGACATCCTGAGGCAAGGGAGCCTGATTCTTCCCTGCCTGGGGCAGCCATTCACACCTGTGCCCAGTGAGTCCACCATGTTACCAGCATACAGTGGAAGCATTTTATACCCTTTTTTGAGCTCACTTTTCATAGGGGTAAATGACTACACAAGGCACAAATCTGCTAGGAATCAGGCCTAACATCATCATGAACTCACTGGAACACCAGTTTACAAATGGGAGCTTTTAAATAGTGAGTTGTGTTTCTCATCCAAAGAACTCCCCAGAGGCGTTAGAGACAGGTGTTCAATATGCCTCACCACACACCTGTTTGGGATTATTACATCCTAGTTACAGCAGGGTAAACCGAGGCACAGAGAAGTGAGGTGTCTTGCCCAAGGTCACATATTGAGTCAATGGTAGAGCAGGAAGGCATTCCAGAGTCCTGATTCTCCTCTCCTACTGGTTTTATGGTGTAACTCCATTGATTCCAAGAGAGCTATTTCTGATTCACACCAGGTGAAGTGGGAAAAGATGCAAGACCTAACTCAAAGTCCCCTTCTCTAGCCACTACCTAACACTGCCTCTGCACTGTTGCTGAAGGAGAAAATACATTTTAAAATACTAACTCTATTTCCACCCAATACCTCTACAGCGATCCAGAGCCATCCCAGCTCTCCGATAAATGTGCTTCAAGCACTTGAACCAGGCATGAATTTTTACAGCCAGGCTGTAAGCCCCATAAAAACAAGGAAATATATATTGGAAAAGCAGAGCCAGTTTAGTTAAAGTGGTTTCAAGAGTTCCCAGGCGAGGCATGTAATCACAATACATATAAAACTCTAGTCATATGGTACTGAAGTCACCATTTTTATAGCTGTGATTTTAACTAATGTAGTGTTAATGGGAAAAGTGTCTGATTGACAGTCCTGGGGAATTAAATCCTCTCTCCATGGAGCCGGCACAGCACAGTCAACAACAGTGCAAACTGCTCGTTTGCCTCAACTGTGATCTGCCTGGACCACCCATAGGGATTCATAGATAAGGATTATGATCAGCCCGTCTGTCTTTCTGCAGTGTACAGGCCAAAGAACGTAACCCACGAATTCCCACACCGAGGGTATAACTTCTTGTCTGAACCGCAGCAGCTCTTTTACAAAGATATCTGGTCTTGATTTGAAAATGTCAGGTGATGGGGAATCTACCACTGCCCAAGGTTAATTGTTCCACTGTTACAAATTTGTACCTTGCGAGAGGAGAGACGGACAGCTCAGTCTCCATGTCCATTCAGTCCTGAACCTTGCGAGTTGAGATGGTGGATTTGTGAAGTGGACACCTGTGCACTAAGATCTGGACTTGGATCACAGCCTTAGTTCACACATGGCATCACTTCTGAACCAAACAAGCTGCCTGCCAGACTATGTGCCTGACATATAAATACGCAGAAGTAACAGGCCCCGGCCTGCAATTTTTGCCCAGGGAAAACTCCCAGTGAAGTCAAGAAATGGAGCCCACTGGTTGGTAGTGTTACTCTGTTTTGACCCAAGTGGCGAATCAAAGCCTGTGAGTGTTCCAGCTGCGACGAGAAACAGATGATAGAGGCTGATATTTCTTTGATGCAATCTTGTTTATTTACAAGGAATGTACAAAGTCCTGCTTCTCCAAACACAGGAGGAACCCAAAACAGGGGATAGCTTTATTGCTTACAGCTCTAAACCTCTTTTAGCCAGCACCAGACCCCAAAACTCTCTCTCCAGCTTCTTCCAGGGCTGTACCGTACTTATAGGCCTCAGCTTGAATTTACAATACTCAGCAAAAACTCTTCTGCCCACACAGTTTAAAACTCTCGGGCAGGGTCACATAACCCTTTTGTTTTAGGTGGAGGATTGTGATTAATTTATCCTTACAGTTATGTTAACTGAAGAGTGCATTCACATCCATTAATCTCAACAAAGTTTTAACTCAATCCATAACAAAGTTTCACCTAGTTCATAACAGTATTATAATAAGTATTATTATTTACACAGCACCCAAAGGTGTGTTAGGTGCTCTGGGCCAGAGCTTTAAAGATGTTTAGGTTCCTAACGATGGAAATAGGTTCCCAGTGGGATTTTCAAAAGTGTCTAGGCATCTAATTCTCCATGGGAGTTAAAAAGCTGGCCTTTTGCAACATGTAAGAAGGCAGAAGTTCAGACCCTGGTTCCCTGATCCGCCTACCGCTAGGGTTGCCGCTAGGGTTGCCAGCCATCCAGTTTTCAACTGGAACGCCCGGTTGAAAAGGAACTC